ACTTAGGCTTGAGAGGGGTCGTTTCATAGACTTGGACAGCTGGGGGTTCGTATTTCAAAATTTTTCTCGACGCCTCGCTTGACCCTGAGCACGGGTCAGTTGAGCGGACGAACATTACTTCTGTAAGGATGCGTTCCATTGATTCCCTCCGCTATCGGGGTCGATCCAAAACATGGCTGAGCCACAAGGGGAAGATAAAGCGAACAGACGACAAACAGATGACAGCGAACCAAGAACCAATGTATTTACAAATCACAACATCACATCAGAAATCTAACAAACGGAATCCCAAAGAAACATTGTGGAGTACACGTGAAAAGTCAACTGATTACAGCGTGGTCCAAATGTTGCAGAACTAATTGGTTTCAATCAGAATTCGCCAAAACCTTGCGACCTCACACTCACTTGAAAAATATTAATAAAAGTGTGGCAGCATTACTGATATCGCCCACAGTTGTGATCCAGAACCACTAATATATCATTTATGGAGCCAAAATTCATGGGAATGGGTGGCAACATGTAGTTCTTAGTATTTATCCCAGAATACATCCAAAAGAAGCACATTTTGATAAGGCATCCCAGGCCGGTATCATAAGCGCGTAATTCTTCAATTTAGGAGCTGTAGCAGGCCCACTACGATCCAGTGGCGATACCGTACCTGATTACTGTCGGCACAATCTGTATTATACCCCACCAATATTGGATTAAAGGAATCTTCCACGGACCATGGACCAGTGGGCGGGACCGGAAGTTTTTGTGACGAAATGCATGGTAGGTACGGATCCACGTGTCGAACGCACGAACGTGAACAGGATTCACTTCAAACCTTCCCATGAACGTGGATCCGTACCTACCATGCATTTCGTCGCAAAACCACTTCCGGTCCCGCCCACTGGTCCATGGTCCGTGGAAGATTCCTTTAACAGATGTTGATAAAATTCTGCTTCAAGTCCTTTGCGCAATTCTCGTTTGGTCATCAATCACCCCCCCCACCCCTTGGAACAAAAACAAAAACGAAAATAATAGTAAAAAGCGAAAAAGTTGCTTACAAGGAAAGGATGGTAGGTCGAAGTGGCCGTTCGAAATGAAATGTATACCACCTGATGCGTCTCCAGACGCTGATTCCAAATCTGCCTTCCAAATCTGCTAAACGACTCTCCGAACGGAGTTATGAAGCGTAATAGCTCAGTGGTGATGGTCCGGGGTGGCAGGTAAAAGCTCGTAGGATCGGTTCCTTTGCAAGTTTGTTGCTTTGCTTTTGTCCGCAACACTTCTAGAGACAAAAGCAAAGCAACCAATTTGCAAAGGAACCGATCCTACGAGCTTTTACCTGCCACCCCGGACCATCACCACTGAGCTATTACGCTTCATAACTCCGTTCGGAGAGTCGTTTAGCAGATTTGGAAGGCAGATTTGGAATCAGCGTCTGGAGACGCATCAGGAGGTATACATTTCATTTCGAACGGCCACTTCGACCTACCATCCTTCCCTTGTTAGATACATTCCACAGTTACATGTTTAAGCGGTACCATCACGGTAAGGTAAGTGAGACAAAATAGATCACAATCGCACAAGCTGTGCTGCTTTAGTAGCTCCAAAACAGTGGCAGAGGTCAATGGCACAACCCCCTCTATTAAGCAATGCACGCCCTGAAAATATTGCCTGCTGTCTGCGTCTACTTTTCTTCAATTCAACCTCATCTCTCCCTCGCCCTCGGTGCGCACTTTCTTCAACCCAACTTCGTACAACACTCCAAATAACCTGCGAAAAGAGGGTCCTAGCTCACGTGTAAATTCTTTTGCTTTTGCCTACTAGCGGACTGGGGAATCACATATCATCCACAGTTCCATAAGCCATATCCCGCTACATTGGAGTGTGCCTTTGGGCCTCAAAGGAGCCACGTTTTCTGTAACTTTGGACCATACTATAAAGTAGCAGTGAGATCTAGTCCATTATCTCTTCGATCAATGGTATAGCACAAATACGAGATCGTTGCATATTAATGATGACATGAAGGTCTTTTTGCACTTTCGCTTGACGATGCAGGACGTCGACCATGGACAGAAGGGCCGCGTAGTGAGCCGGCGCATTTGTCACTCCATGTGTCGCCATGCAGTACGACAACAGCGTCGAGTTGAAACGACTGCGTTCAGCAGCGAGAATCCGTTGACCGTCCGGTGAAAGACCATCGACCGCTAAAGTGAATTAGGCAACCAATGCAGAATAACTGACACCGAATAAGCATAGGATAAGGATGTGCCACGCTTCATGCTTTATTAGCGCCTACGGATCGTACGACGTAGCACACCAATGATAGCCATTCACGCTTAAAGGCAAGAATCAGGATTAAATTGATGGGGTGATTCCACTCAAATGTGAAAGTAGGGATGGGAGGTGGACCGCCAGTGGAGAAAAAAGGAAAGAAAATCCTGAAATACACAGGAAATACGAGCATTTTGCTCTATGCTGTGGAGAAGTTCAAAAGACAGGCAGGGAGATGAGAGATAATGTGAGCGCGGAGAGTGGTAGAGAAGTCCGAGAAGAGAGAGCATAGCAGATCAACGTGGCGACGCAGACAAGATATCGAACGGTGGGCGGACCATGTTAAGTTTGGTGGAGTCTGTTAGAAGTCCATGGCGCCTAGGGTCCTAGTGACGCGTTTCGATAAAGGTGGCGCTACCTTTGCACTTGCGTACCCAGCACTTCTAGCCATGGTAAGGGCTTCTTAGGTGGGTCTGAGCCCGAACTTTGCCTTTAAAGGGATCCTTCCCGAAAAATTGGTTTCGAGCATGAGGATTCGGTTTCCGGAGAGAAACGAACATATGAAAACCACACTCGTTGGACTGGTCGACGGTAAGTCGAGCGGAGTCCAAGACGAGGCATGGAAGGAGTGCGCCTCGGGCGGCCACGTATCAGGCAACGGATGGTTGAAGCACTCAAGGAAATAGAGACAAAACATTCTAGAAATGATCATCCAGAGTTGAAATTTCGAATGCCCAATAATCGAAAGAAAAAAAGCCAGGCCACCGCACTCAGTACTGTTAACAAGTGAAGAATCACCGCCGCCAGCATTCTGGAAAAATGTCTGGCGGAATTTCACGCGAGGGTTCCTATTGGCTGATTCTCGGCCATTGATTTATGGTGAGATAGATCACAGCTTCTGAACCCTATTCTTCAAAGATAACCCAGAACCCCCAACCGGCGAAGCATCACGCAAAAACCATCTCCCCGGAATGAGTGCCGCACAGAAGCAATGACGACACTAGCCTCTGCAAATGCCAACAGCCTCCAGATCAAGAGATGTCGAGTTGATGTTGAGCAGTGTCACCGTTGATGGGTCCCAAAAAGCACAGCCGCCCGAGCCTTTATGTCACCTATTACTACAACTGTACAGATTTGTCGCGGCCAGGTACCAGTGGAGTTCATGGTAAGAGAACCACACCAGACTAGAGAGCAAGTTTCGGATTATGATAGGATTCACCGTGTCAGGTAACATTTTATGCATATTCAAGAATCGAACGAAAAGAAACAAACTGGCATTGCAGAGTAGTAGTGCTTTTAATAGGACGTATTCCTTCTTGTCGAATTTGTGGCGAATAAGCGGTTCAATTGCGATTTGAAGACCATTCCCGATGTGAGGTGTCAAACGAAAAACATAGCAATGAAAGTCCACTGTCTTAAGCTTCACTATGAAACCAAACCACAATGTGACATAACTTCCCCATGGCGTAACCGTTCTTACATCTCCCCACTACGAGCCCCCTTCACCCAGACACTCGCCCCCCACAGTTTGGCTAATTAAAGCCGAAAAGCTCGCCTGTGAGCCCGAGTCTGAACCCTCTGACAAGGGAGCGCGCCTAGGTGCAAGCCACCTTTCCAAACCGTCTTTTGATGATCAGGAACTTATGCGTGTCTCCAGTAGGCGCTTGGCAAGATCCATGTCGTAACGACCACTGAAAGCCCTAAAGTGGTGAGAAAATGATTCAACGGTCAATCCCCCGTGATGACAAAGTTTCTGCATTTTAGTTGGAACTTCCAAATTTTCTCAAAATAGCGTGCTGATCACGGATATGGCGTTCTTTTTGGAGTTCGGCGAAATTTAGCGCCAGGTTGGCGCTACGGATTTATTCTGCCAGTTTTTGACAGTCAATCCAATTGCAGCAGGCTGCGGTCGCTCATTGTGAATAATGCGTAAATTGGCACTGAAGCGATTTCGCGCTCATTTGGAGGCGAGAATTGGTAATGCAAACTCTTGCGATGGAGCGTATCCGAATTACAAAGACCCTTTCTTCGAGTCCATCACGGGTTCCACAAAACCACCAGACCACTGCTATCCTTGATATGCCGACGATGCTCATGAAACCTCTCCACTTTTTCCAGCACTACCACTGACAGTACTTCAATTTTTGGCGAATTTCACCTTGTTTTCGATACCATCTTATCAGCGCCCTTCAATATGCAGGTGATCTTCTGTACAAGTCCGAAACGTCACTCCAAAGCTGTAAAAACCGCCATTCTCAACAAATTTTTTCGACCCTTTTTTGGCCATCAGGGAACCGTTCAGCGAAAATGAAACATGGTTTTGTAGTCCACACATGGGTTCCTACAATATGCAAAAAACGTTTGGAAAAGCGCGGCTTGCCCTGAAAGACCTCCCTCGTAAGCGCGGCGTAACACTCATTGGCGTAGGCGAGTTTGAAACCCCTAATTGCGACACAACACCTTCCTCTCTGCAATAATTCCGTCCGTGTAATTAGCATGAAGAAAAAAACTTACAGAACCACGGCGGGGAAGAACAAAGGTACGGTACCGTCCGGATGAACGACACTGTCCGCTTTCTGCTCGTACGAGAAGAACGCCTGCGTGACATTAAAACACTGCAGGATCACCGATTTTAATAGAACAATCTGAAAAACATCAATCAGAGCTAATCTAATTATGGCGTTCAGTCCTTTTGCAACTAAGTAAACCATACTGTTAAAGATCTTTCCACACATAATGCGCATCACATTGCAAACTACAGAACATTTAAAGCAGCGATTATATGAAATAATACAAAGAATACTGATCGAAGACGGGTGCGTGTCAACAGAATCGTCCGGAGACCCGCGCTAGTGGTCGTGGCCGCGACGGCGCGGTGGCGGTGGACGAGTTTCTGTAAGCGTCATTCTATTGTGAATGTTAAAGGGACGCCAAGCCGACTCGTCCCGCCTTTTGCTAACAATCTCATCATGAAATCCGATTTGAATAGTGTCTAATACCACTATATAGCACGGCAGTTGATAAATAACTCAAAATTATAATACATTACTATCATGTAACGATGGGCACAGATTGTGCATAGCATTACGACCTATTCATTTTAATACTTAACTAGGTTTGGTTCGCACCTAAGTAAAGGTCGGCGACCTTAATTAGGTGTAAACCAGACCTAATTAAGTACAAAAAGGTGCCGCTTCTACGAAATAATCTTGGGAATCATGTGAATGAAGTAGACCATGAAGAATCATTGCTCCAATCGTCAAATTCGAATAAGGCCGCGCCCATCGAAAAACTGCCGCGTTACGACGCCGCGCAAGTGATCGCGCGCGACGGCGTCACTCCCGGACGATTCTGTTGACCGCCGCCCTAGTCGAAGTGATCCCCCAAACGAAGTTTCAAAAACCTTTCCTCACAGCTTTTCCGATCAGATGAGGCAACATGTCAACGCAGAGAAAAAAATGCAAAAGGATCACTGATGGGTAGGTAATTTAAGACTGTGTTCAGCAAAGTTTACTTTGACAGTACACGAAACCGGCCTAGACAACATAGCAAACTGTCAGAATGGGGAAACTTTGAAAAATTTTGTTACAGCGTAACCCTATTTTAAGTTGTTAACACGTCATAGTGTCAGGATAGAGGTTAAAATGAGGCAAAAACTACTTAATTAATTTTACCATATTTGAATTGGATCTTACTAACATAGCTAGTATTCACACCCAAATTTGTCAAAGCGTTAAACACAGCATCGTTGGGTCTCTTCAAGGGTACAAACAGAATTCCATATAGAGACCTGCTATGAGTACTGAGCGAAATATTTATCTTGGAGCTAGGATAGCGGCACCTGCTTATCTACGGAGCGTAACTGAACCATGACTCTCTTACACAAATGTGTCGCATTTGATTCCTTTTACAAGATTTATTAGCTTACGCCACGCGCTTTTTGTTAATTTTTCACACACAAGCATCTGTTTTCAGCACAGTCGTGGAGAGCATGAATAAATGAATAAGCAAATAAATGAAGCTTTTCATCCTTTAAGTGTTAACACCTGGTGACTTCAGTAACGTTCAAATCGTCTTTTCAAAGACGACTAAGCTGGAGAGATTCTACACCCCTATTCCTGCTATTGTGAATTGTTCCTTTAACAGGAATTTCTTCCAATTTCATACATGCACGTTGCCCTAATTACGCTTTAGAATTCAACGAGGCGAAGAATTGAATAGGATGCGACAAAGCCTCACATCGACGGAAGCGCAACTATGTCGGGCTACAAATAAAGTGCGTTCTGTAAAGTATATCCGTACCCTAGATATACCTTGATCAAATTTCACAATTATTCGAGACAACAAAAACTTGTTGATTCCCTAGTCACACCTTTTCACCACTTTCTCAATCAAAGTCAATTTGTAAGGGTTGCGACGGTCTAATCACGAATTATACGATTTATTCATGTAACTCCATTTTGCGCGAATTTTGGAAACGTCAACTCGAAATGCAAAAATTTGTCACCACGAGGAATCGAACTAGGGACCCCTTTTCTGGTATTCAGAGGGCCGTTCAGGAAAAATGAACCATGCTTCTGTGGTCCCCATATGTGCCCCAATGTCATGCAAGAAACCATTTTGAAAAAGCTTGGCACACCCTGAACGACCTTCCCTTGTAAGTGCCAAAGAGGACACCGTGGGGTATCATGAAACTCTTCGTCAAACAAAATGCCGCTATTGATACATAAACAGACAGCAATCCTTCTCTACTGCCCTCACGTTCTCAAATATGACGTCATCTCCTATCACCGGGCTCAAGATGTTTACGTAAGTTCCAGCCGAGTGCTGCGGAATTCCTTCCTCGGACATGATAGATGCTCCAGGATAGTAGCCTCGAATGTGAGACTGTCGACGCCTGTCAGATGTTGCGTGT